CAGGCAGGCTTCAACGGTCCCGGCCGAACTCGATTTTTGGTAGGATTTTCCGTGAAACGCAGAAAAACACTGTGTTTTCGATAGTTTGTATGGATTCAAGGCCGCGCGCAAACGTGGAAGCAGGGCTCAACTCTCCCCGGCCGAGCCCGATTTCTGGCAGGGTTTTCGGTGAACAAGTAGAAAAAACCATGTGTTTTTGATGGTTTTGTATGGATTCAAGGCCGCGTGGGTGCGGAAATCATGAAAACACGTGGGAAATCAATGTTTTTAGTGGCGTTTCTGGAAGGTGCTTCGAACTTGCTGGCAGGCCCTGCGTTGTCCCATGCTTTTTGTCTGCCGGCGCCCGGCTGTCAGGCGTAAGCCCTTAAATCCGGCTACGCCTCCTGGGGTAGCATGTCGCCGCCAGGCAAGTAGCCTGCTATCTTTAGCTATAGGGGCTGCGCCCTGGTGCCGCCGCCTAAATCCGGCACCTCTGCATCACCAGGTCGGGCTTGCGGTTTTGCTTGCCTGTGGGAAATGCTCGCAAAACATCGCATGGCTGACATCATCAGGGTCTGGGGTTGGGCCTGGGTGATGCTTCAGCGGGGCTTGGTCTGCATCATCAAGACTTCCTCCCAAAAAGCCTCTCAACCCAAAAAGCACTGTTTTTTAGAAGGTGTCCGAGGGATATAAGCGAGGCTCATTTTCGCGCATTTTGGCGCCAAGCGCTGCCGGGTATGCCGGCGATGCTGGGTCCTCGCTCTACAAAATGCTGTAAATACCGTCAAAAACTGCTTTGCTGAGCGGTGGGCTGTTGTTCTGTCCGTTTTGCTTTTGCTGTGGCTGGCTCGCGTGCTGCGCAGTCCTTGCTTTTTTCGCGTTGGTTTTCGGGCCTTCTGGCGCGCGACCCCAGCCACAAGACGCTGCTATTTACTGTGTTTTGTTGCTTTTGCGTTTCCGGGCTGGCTTGCGGGCTGTTCTTTTTTGGGCTGCTGTTTCTGCGGCCTCTGGCGCGCGCGCGTGCGCGACCCCATGTCAGCCTTCTGGTTTGGGTCCCGGCTAGGTGGGGTGGGCAACATGCATAACCTAATCATAGCACAGGATACGTTTCTCATTCAAAAACATGACGACATGACATGGTATAACTTCAAAGAGGCGTAGCCGGCTAGAGGCCGCAGGCCCAGAAAAGAAAGGAAAACAACAAAGAAAAGAAAAGAAACGAAAAGGGAAAGCAGGGAGGAAGGAAGGAAGGGAGGAAGGAAAGAAAGAAGGAAGGAGGGAAGGGCAGAAAAGAAAAGAAAAGGACTGAAGGACGGAAGGAAGGAAAGGAGGAAGGAAGGAAGGAAAGAAAGAAAGACAGAAAGAAAGAAAGAAAGAAAGAAAAGAAAAGAAAAGAAACAAACAGAGACAAAGAAAGAAAGAAAGAAAGAACGAAAGAAAGAAGCGAAAGAAAGAAAGACATAAGGAAAGAACGAAAGAAGGAAAGAAAGACAGAAAGATAGAAAGCAAGAAGGAAAGAAAGAAGGAAGGACAGAAAGAGAGAAAGGACATAAAGACACAAGTAAATGTCACAGGTAATGGAAGAAAGAAAGAACGAAAGGAAGAAAGAAAGGAAGAAGGAATTAGTAAAGAAAGAAATGAATCAGCAAACGATAATGACAGACAGACAAGACAGATATAAATTACAAAGAAGTAAAGAAGGAAACGCAATAAAGAAAGGGAAACAAATCACATTCAGCACAAAGCAATGAAAGACAGCAAATAAGGAAACACAACAAACGAAATACAGAAAGAACCGCAACAAAGAAAGAAATTAGCAATGCCATAAATACACAGAATTAATGAACAAGTACAGAAGGAAAGGAAGAACGAAAGAACATATAAGGAAAGAAGGAAGGACAGAACGAAACCAAGCGAGAGAGAGAGAGAGAGTGAGAGAAGGAGAGAGAGAGAGGGAGAGAAAGAAAATAAAGAAAGAAAGAAGAAAAGAAAGAAAGAAGAAAAGAAAGAAAGAAGGAAAGAAAAGAAAGAAAGAAAGAAAAGGAAGAAAGAAAGAAAGAAAGAAAGAAAAGAAAAGAAAGAAAGAAACAAATAAAGACAGAAAGAAGGAAAGAAAAGAAATCAAGAAAGGAAAGAATGAAAGAAAGAAAGAAACAAAGAAAGAAAAGAAAGAAAGAAGGGAAGGACAACCATCAAAGAGAAAAGCAAACAACTAAGAATGGAGAAAGAAAGAAGAAGGTGTCAATATTTTGAAACGTCCGCCCACCGGCTTCGGTAAAGTAAAAATTTGCATGCATGTTCATAATGCTTGTGTGTAATGTAGTGTAACTAATGTAATGTAATGTAATGTAGTGTAGTGCAATGTAATGTAGCGAAATGTAGTGTACTATGATGTGCGTAAGCGACCTTCGTAACGCACACTTTTCTGTTTGTTTGTTCTTTCCCGTGTCTTTTTTTGCATGATGACTTGCTTGCTGCATCACAGCCTCAGTTTTGTACACACCTCTGGGCGGAAGCGCAGGTGGTGGCCTCTCTGTGCAGGAAGGAGAAGCCAGTTGCAGATGGGCTGCCACAGGTGCTGGAGTGATTCTTCATTCAGTTGGTTCGCACGACGTGTGATGAGGTACCCAAGCACCTGTCAATGAAGGCAGCAGGAGCTTCTGCGATGTTGGAGAAGGCAATGCGTTCAGACATTCAATCCAGTCATTGTGAGCTGTTTTTGAGGCAGGCATCGCGCCTGGTAAGCTGGATCCAGAAGTCGCCGCGGCAATTAGGCGGATCGGCCATGCCAAGCAACAGGAGCAATGGGCCCAACGGGATCAGGAGGCAGGCGGAAGAGATGATGGCTGCAGAAGCTGCTCGGAAAGCTCCGGTGGAGCAGGTTGGCCTCTCAAGCGAGGCGCCTTGAGTCAATGACAGACTGGCAGGAGGAGATTGTTACTGGCCCATCTTTTCTGCTGCGGGAAGGATGTTCGCGCCCCAAGCATGTCGGGCGTGCCATTCATGCGATTTTAACTGGCCTGGTAAGTTGTTGTGGCTTCCCGAGGCAAAGTGATCTTAACGGGCCTGGTCTCCAAACCGGAGAATAATGGCAAGCAGGGAAGCATCGTCCGCCGTTGCCCAAGTGAAGAGTCGTATCACGTGGGCGAGACACCCGGAGCGCAGCAGGCTTCTTGGATGACCAGCAGAAGTACCAGGCAGGGCACCTAGATTTTCGCCCACAGGCCGCCCGAAATGTGTAGGTGCCCTTGCAGTGGTCCTTCACAATTTTACCGAAGCTCGCATTGATCTGCCAGCGAGAGCTTGTTTCCAGGTGAGCCTGGAGGGCAAGCTGGTGAAGCTAAAGCCCGAGAACGTTGAGGCTGCACATGTGCGTGCAAGATAAGCACGAAGAAAAGCGGCCCCCTGGAAACCTGAGTCTGAGTGCTGGTAGTGGCAAACAGCAGAGGCTGCGGAAGACCCGCCGCCCAAGCGTTCGACTCTCAATGGTTTTGATAGTTAGACAAACTAAATGACAATGCAATGTTTCCCTTGAATATTTCGATGCCATTGCATTGTTCGGCACCATCGCAACGTTGAATGATTCTGGAGGCTGTGGCACATGAATATTTAGTTCGAGCATCTCACCGTTTGAATATCTAATCACTGATGCTAGTGTTCATTGTCGGCAAGACTGTCTTGAGTGTTGACTGATCTGCAGACAACTTTGCCCTAGCAGTCCGAGGACTGCCAAAGGCACTGGAGGAGGAGGAGGAGGACGGTGACGACGAGGATGTGGCAAATTCTGCGCAGGCGGAACTGGCAGTGTTTGTTGGCGCGCGTGCGAGTGCACGTGTGTGGGTGGGTGGGTCGGTGAGTGAGTGAGTGCGTGCGTGCGTGCGTGCGTGCGTGCGTGCGTGTGAGCGTGTGTGCGTGTGTGTGTGCCGAGTTCCAGATCTACCCTGGAACCACGTTTGAATTTCACGCAGGGGCGCGCGGCATCGTGCGCAACAAAGCTACGGTTGCAGATGGGACGCCAGCTCCTGTACCTGCTCGTGGTGCAAAGTCCTTTTCGTCCCTCCTGTACCTGCTCGCTGTTGGTTGTCGTGGCCCTGTTAAAGTCATAGAGTGAAGCCGAGTGTGATGCGAGCCGAAAGTTGTACTCGAAAGTTGTACTCGAAAGTTGTACTCGAAGATAAGCAACCTCCCTCGGGAGTTCAAGTGTGATTAGCCCGTCTTGGGGGACCCTCGGATGCTCCCATTGCGTGGCTCCGGGACGGCAGTGCCGTTTAATTTGACATTGGCGTCGATCACTAGACCAGCGGAATTTCACTTTTAATCAGAAACGAGGTCTCACTAAAGGGAAGACAGCGTAAGCCATTTCACTCACCAATGACTTCAACTACGCTGTCTGGGGCGGATCGGCTGACGTCAGTTGCGTTCTTCATTTGCATGCTTGTGCCACGGTTTTGAGTGTTTTGTGTCTCAAGCGTTGAGTTTTGCAATCCTCGTCTTGCGCTTGATCATGCCTCGCCGTGATGATCGTGAACGATCTCGTACTCGGCACCGACGTGGGCGACCCGAATCACCACCTCACAAAGCACGCAGACGTAATGGTCGTGATGATGATCCACGCCAGCAGATTCTCAACCATCCCACGCCTGGACTTCCTATGTCGCTTGATCCATGTCATCGTGCTCCTCATGAGCTTCCTGCGCACCAACCTATGCCAACACAGACTACATTCGCGAATCCTCCCCCGCCCAGTTCTTCAGCTACGCAGTGCACTCATCGCGCGACTTCAGGCTCTAGAGCAACAGGCCAACCACTTTGGCTCACGGCCCCTACGGAGTGGACTTCTGGAGATGGTCTTCTGGATCGCAACCACCTCTACTCCTTCACTCTATGCGGTAGCCTCTGGAGCAAAGAGGGCAAACCAAGGGTTGTCCTGGTTGTAGGGAACCTTGTTCTCCCAAGTGCTTCACAGCAAAGCAAAGACCAAAGATGCGCCTCAATGGCGCCAAGATGCGCTGTTTTCTCTCTCCGTTAGTTTGCCGGAGGCTCAAGGCCTTTAGCCAACAAATGGCAGCATATGCACAAATGCAACATCAATCCAAATTCTTTCTTGGATAAAGGCCTAGCTGCGCACTAGGGATTGAAGCTCTCTCATTTGCTGTAGAGCTCCTCGGCCACACTTCTTGCCCTTGCGCTCCGAAGTGATGAATTGGGGATCAGAATGCAGTTTCCAAATGAAGTTCCGCAAGAACTGCATCACTCCTTGACGTGCCGTGTGGTGAGAGCATCGGACAAATTCCAGTCGCCGCTCAGCCAAATGAGCCTGGCGTTGCCGTCTTTCAGCTGATCACGAAGCTGAAAGGCTTGAAGAGCGGATCTGAAATTGGTAAGTCCTAGCAAGGGACCTTCGGACTTTGTGATTGCATCGAAGCCTACTTCATGATGTTGTTGGCACCGTCCAAGAGCTGCTTGCCAGGTGGGCATCCATTGATCTGTGCCCGCATGAAACGTGCGCGGTAATTCGCGCTCTCTCCTTTCACCATGCATTGAACTTCGCCATCATTGGTGGAGATGGCCTTGCGCCTGAGTTTCCAGGTTCTCCAGCTGACCACAGAAAGCCTACCAGCTTCTCCTTGAAGATGTTCGGGACCACCAACGAAAGTGATCAGGCCGCCTGTGGAATCGCCGTTAGGTCTATTGGCATGTGCTCGATCTGCAAGGGTTACTATTGTGCAATCTTGCAAATGAGAAACTTGTGTGAGATGCCAAAACTTCAGGGCGACGGGGTTCGCGCGAATCTCCTTGATGAGGTCCTGAATCTCCTTGGCCGTGGCGAGGTCGCCCTTGTCGTTGAGTTGTGAGAGTAACAGGTTGGCGCGAGCACAGGCTTGAAGTTGAGTCTGTGTAGCAACCCATTGAAGTGCACCGAAGTATCATCTGCCTTCTGGAGACGATGAGGATCCACACTGAGATCTGGGATCTCTTGTGTGTAATAGTTCTGGTCGACCTCGATGTAGCGCTCGTTGCCGAAGTCCTTGACATTGATGTCGAGGCCGGTGTAGCGGAAGTTGTTGACCTTAACACTTCCCCATTTGTAGGCTTTGTCGATGGCGTTCCGGATCTCCAACCAACGGGGATCAGCAAGATCACCGGCTCTTTGAAAATCATCGACATGACCACCCATATAGCCTAAGAGGATCTCGACATCACATTCGTTGCGAGGTTGTGGATTTGGAGCTGTGAAGATCCAAAAGGAAGCATCGCCAATGACGCGGCGAGCGCCCAAAGACTGCATAGTCCGATCCACATCTTCCCAAAGTCCTCAAGGTGCAGTGGCATTGCCATAGACATTCTTCAGGATTCGGAGAACTTCATGAGGAGCAGCACCAAGAGCTTCATTAAGCTCATCAACTCCATGCATCCAGATGCGACGAGATTCCTCGGTCTTGCCGGTCTGCAGGAAGGCTTTGCTCATGTCCAAGGATTCCAGCTGCCAACCTCGTTGTGCTGCGACGCAGAAGGAGAGGTTGCGAGTCAGTTGACATTGCACTGGGGGCCGTAGTGGACATAGACGGTGAAAGCAAATCTGGATGTTGACATCCGAGAACCACGATTCTGGCCTTGGCTTTCTTGGTGCCGTTCTTGTTGTAGGTTGTGTTGGGGTTGTGGACGTGGTCGCAAAGTGCTTCTTCTCGAGATTCTTCAGGAACTCCTTTCCAAACCAGGACCCATCGAGATTTGAAGAGCTCGGCCTGAACGTCGAGCTTCTTGTTCTTCTGCCCAGTTGAGACATCGCCTGATTGCTTCCGTACGAAGGAAGCTGGAAACTTCGGAGTTCTTGGCATTCTTGAAGAGACGTCGGTCTTGCGATATTGAACTTCAGCACCACTCATTTTCTTGGCGAGGAACAAGTGGGGAGCCGCAAGGAACTTCTTGCGTTGACGGTTGCTGTCCAAGACGATGTCGATGTTCATGAGGTAGCCAGCATCGAGCTCTTCGATGATCTGCTGGTGCTTGGCCTCCAAATAGGTCTCGGATTCCAGGCCATCAGCGTCGGAAGCATGTCGGGCTCGCTTGCTCTCTGGTTCGATCTCGCCATTGTCATTCAATGGAGTAGTTGAAGTGATTGAGGATCTCCGCGACGGCAAACTGATTGGATCAGGTAGATCGTTTCCCAACTCATCCATTGGATCACCAAGAGGTACTTCTGGACCAGGTGCAGAAGCCGATGGTTGTGATGATGAGGAAGCGGATGAATTGCCGTAGTCGTTGACAGACTTGACAGGTCGTCCTTGATCATCCATGGGGCTCTTTGTCGTGAAACGAACTCGCGGTCGTTGAGGTACAGGTTGAACTGGTGGGAGGTCCGGAAGATAAGGTTCTTCACGATCTCCTTCTTGAGGTTCTTCATGTTCGATGTCCACGAATTCACGACGTGGAAGCATGTCCGAAAGTTGACGCCAAAGAACTTGTTCTTGATTGGTGGCTTCATGAACAGCATGTTCACGTTCAGATAGAGGATGTACGGAGTGAACACTGCATCTAAAAAGTTGAGATCCCACCGTGACCCACACGATGCTCTTGCGATCCTCATCATCATGCCCAGGGACAAGTTCATGAAGCGCCACTGTACCGGGACCAATCCACCGTGCCTTGACCGTGCACGCTTGCCGGTGTGAAACTCCAGGGGGAGGGACTTGCGCCAGACCATTACCAGTTCAGCAGGACTATAGCTACGAAGAGGTTGTCGAACACTGGTGTTGCGCAGCTTGCTCAGAACCAGTTGATCGCGTGCCTTGCGAGCACACTCCTCGGCTGGTTGTCGTTGTGACATCAGCTTGAAAAAGGAATCTTGCTGACGATCGACAGGTAGCGCAAGTTGTTGACGAAGTTCTTCATCGGTGATTTTCGCTTGACGACCGAACGTCCATTGAAGACTGCTGAAGCCCTTCACATACTCCATGGAAAGCCAAAGTGAGTGCTGGTGGTTGATCAGGCATCGAAATGTGGATGGCATTGGCGGTCTCCTTCACTTGTTGGATTCCACGTTCCACCAACCTACAGCGATTCCCAAATCTCCCATGAACTCCTCGAAGCGCTTGGCGGTGAGGGACTTGGCGATGATCCATTTTGGCCGTGGTTTGTCGGCCAACCAGCGAAGTGTGACCACTCGGACCATGTCATTGGCACTCTTGACCTTTATCTCGCCGTGCTTGGTCTCGAAGAGGACTTCTGTGACCTTGTATCGCGTGGCCATATCCATGAGAAGCACAAACTTACCGAGTTGTTCCCAAGGTTCAGGAAGTTCATGAACGCTAGCGCGGCTGACTTGCTTGGAACTGATTCCACCGGGCTTGACCTCCTCGCAGACAGGACGCTTGTAGTTGAGGCATAGCCGCTCGACGGAACCGTACAAGTTGAACTCTCCATTTTTCGCGGTCTTCTGCAGAGGTTCACCAGGATCAGCTTCTTGATCGTGTCCTTCTTGATCTTGATCAGGTGCATCAGGAGCTACACCAGGTGGAACTGCGAGAGCGTCAGCGACAGGTACTTCAGGATCGATGTCTCCAGCGTAGAGCTCGGCAAAGGAGTCGTTGATGACGGGAGCTGTCCAGAGATAGCTCAGCCACCGTTCGGGGACCAATTGTTTCCGCCAATCACGAGCAATGGCCTTACACACAGAGACTGGGTAGTAGGCACGACACCTTGGATATGTTCGTGCTAATGGTTCTTGAGGCAAACCTGAAGGCGAAAGCGATTGTAGAAGATCTGGTCGGTGGTGAGGATGGTCCAACTCT